TGTGACGGAGGGGAACAGCAATTAGGAAATTTCAGTGTCGAAAAGAGCAAAAAATAAGTACTTAAAAGGAAGGCACTATTAGGAAAAAATATAACTCTTAGTTCCAGAAATAGAGAAGTGTATGTGCAAATTTAGTGGCTAGTTAAAGTCTGTCAGAAATTATCCGCTCTGTCCTAGCCTCAACATCTTTTTACTTATTTCACATCTCCCCATGCTTGCTTTACAGGCACGCTAGTCATAACAGAGTCAATTGGGACAACTGAATTAAGCGAATTTGCCAACCCTTCCCCCCTACCGAGTAAGTGAGGCTAGTAATCATTCTGATGGTTGATAGATGATTGATTAGGAAATCCTGCCTGAGCAGTCAGTTTCCTGTTCCGTAATTTTGGATTCCATACGAGCGGTAAGTTGGGCGGGTAAATGGATCCAAGTGTGATTAAATTCACGGTGCATGGTGGGGTTCGTAGTGGAATGATAGAGCGTTGGCTGTGCAAAAGCCTTCCCTGCGGTGTAGGTTCCACTCCCACCGACGCCGCGAATTTTTCACAATTGGGTCAACCAAAATTAAGCAAATCTGCCAAACTCCCCCTAACATGACAGAGTCATTGTGGTCTGCGGCTGGGTATGACCGAATTACGAAGGAAACGAAGCTGTAATGATGATTTCTGCTGCCTTTGCCTTTCTTCGACAACAGCTGTCCAGGATGAATGACGTTTCGATGCAATGTGGCCGCGTGAGAGAGCTCTGTACGGAAGCTCCAAGACTAAACGAATGAGCCGGCCTCCTGCCTGTTATCTTAGTAGATACAAGTCGGTGAATGTCACTCCACGTGTCCTTAAATATTTTTTTAAGCGCAGCTGATCAGGAATGAGGCTAAAGTGAGGGTATTCTATTGTGTAATTCAACCAACAGCTGAACTCTGGGCTCAACCTTGATGTGTTCTCGGTCTTCGGGTTAAGTAAGGCAAATACCCAGAAACTATCCATCTCAGTCTGGCTTATTTGTTTGCCTGGAGTACCTCCCGATAAGTAGCTCCAAATTAAGTGGATTAGGTGGAATCCAACCATTAAAAAGTGGAGAAGCGTGTAAGGAAGCAATTATTCGACGCAAAAATGTATCCATTTTTGCCAGCTTACTTTACCTCGACGCGTCTATAATCCTTGGGGCAGAAAATGCTTGAATACCAAATTTTGTTCTTTTCCATGGGTGTTGCAAGTAATGAGAAAATTAGGTTACGCTGTAAGTTTTCACTTATTATTATCATGTGACCTGTCAACCGCCTCCCACATATTGTGCTCGAAGTAAAAATCAGACCTGTGTAAGAAAACAGGAAGCAAAAATACATGAGCCAGAAGGAGGAAGGTCGTTAGCCGGAACAGGTTTATTTTTTTATCTGACGTTTTGGATAATTATCTCGTGAATACGCTGGCTCCTGGCTCTCGCTATATGTCGCCCCTTTCTTTCGCGTGCCTAATCTACCAATCCAGTCCGAGCCGCTCTGCGTAGCTCGCGTCCCTAGGTGGTAGCCGC